TCCTTAACGACAACTTCCTCTTCAACTCTAATTCGACATGTGATTGTCATGACTTTATAGCCAATTCACACTCGCAAACACACACACAAAACACACACGCACACTCAGTCATGCACAACACGTGTCTGTTCATATGAATGCGAGTGTGCACTCGTGAATGCATTTTACAAGTTATTTTATGCAAGCCATAAATATGCACTTTACACTTTGCACATTTCTTTCTTTCTACACAACAAGGCGCTGTCTTGCTCTCTCTTTCCCTTTCTCTCTCTTTCTCTCTCTCTCTCTTTCTCTCTCTCTCTCTCTCTCTCACTCTCTCTCTGTGTTAGCCTTTTTGTGTGTGCGCGCAAAACAAACAGCCAGCCATAGGATACAGATCGAGTATCTTAGCTCTTAGTTAGACCAACACAAGCCGAGAGGGAGCCTGTCAGAGGGAGGGCGACTGTGAGACAGAGGAACAGCCAGACAGATGGACGGACCGACAGACAGATGGACAGATGGACGGACAGAGACAAGTCCCGTAGTGGTGCCGAGTGGTGCCTGCATACAAATTATGTACAAACATGTTTTCAGAAATGTTCAATTCATTATCGCTAACAAATGCCGATCATGTTGTGTTCAACACACAGTTCAAAGCACTTTTCCAGCAAAAATTATTGCCAGACTGCGAAAATCTGGACGCAGTACGTACGTCTGGCAACCGCAGCAACAAAAAACGGCAACTGCATTTGGAATTGGGTCTGGATAGAGTCTGTTTATCGGGGGATTGATGATGGGGCAACTGGAACTGCGACTAGCGCTGCTTTGGCTCAACTCGGAAGCTGTTTTCTATCTAAGCACTCGACGCTCGACGCTCGACAGTAATTGCTGTTAGGCTAAGTGATATGCCATGTACCAGCTGCAGAGTTACAGAATCAGAAACTCTGTTCGGGGCCTAATCAGTTTGGACAGACCGACAGACTGAGGGACAGACGTACGGCAACAAAAGGCAGCTACCCCAAACACTCTATATTTTATTTAGGTTCCCCCTGCGTCCACTTAATACACAATTTCCGCTTACGATTCGAGGCACTCGAACAAAGCACAGAACCCAGCCTGATGAGAGTTTGCGACCCTTTTCCCAATGTGAGTGCGTCGCTGCGTCTGCGCACAAGCCCGAATTAAATTACAGAACGTGCTTCATTGAAAAATAAACAAGACCAACAAAAAAAAAAGCACATAAAATAAAAATAAATAAAACAAGTTAAAGAGTTCTTTAAACAGCTGCCAAACTGCGCGATACCCCGTGAAATCTGCCAAAGGGAACCATATTCCCTTGAGTTGATATATGAGTGCTGAGCATCGACACGACGTTTAGAGATCGAACCCCTGCGAAGACATAATATATTTATACGTTTTACTTAAACAAGGCGCCCTTTTCAAAAGTAGACACATATATACAGCCTGCTCTTAACTTTTTCGCACAAATAATAATACAACGAGAAAGTTAGGAAATCGTCGGCACGCAAAAGAATTAATATCCTTGCAAACATCTGCCTTACAATTTGGCAAATATGTGAGAAGAGTAAAGCTCGCAAAGGCTAAGTTTAATAAAAACATTTTGGATAACAGAATACTTCGGCCGATTCTTCCTATAGTGTATATATCACTATATAGTAGCACGTTAATAAAAAACGCCGTCTGCAACTGTATAAAAACTTTAAATTATTCTTTAAGTAATTAATTTTGTGTTTCTTTTTAAGAATTTCCATTCTTCCTTATTTAAATTTATTCAGTTTTCGATTCCTTCATATTTAAATTCCTTCAGTAATTTTCAAGCTTTGAAAATGGTTTTAACCTGATGTCAAATTTAATGTCAACTTTTAATCTATTTCCCCGTTATCGTAAGTGTATTTAATCGAATGTGTCGGGAGCTAACGAAATTTCATGTGATTTTCGCTCTTTAGTCTTCAATCTCAAGTCATAAACTGTCTAATTCTGGTTTCTAATCCTTTCATAAACATTTTCTGTGTTCTTAGACCTTTAATCTCAGGCCCCAATTTTTAATCCTCCATAAAGAGTTTTCTATTCTCAGGCATGCTAAGCCGCGAGATATCCTGTTAAAGGTTTGAAGGCGTCTTAAACCAATGTGCTATGAGCTGACAGAATTTGATGTGAAAGCAAGACCCTTCTCAATCTTAAGACTTAAGACTCAAAATTTCTTATTTCGACTTCTTTGAGAGAAGCAAAAGCAAAGTGCGACTCGAGCAGATAATGTCAAGAAGCGTGCAGGTAAATTAGCTAGATATTATGAAAACTTTTGGTGAAATATATATTAACTTCATCTTTAAATAAAATAACTAATAAAGATATGAATCAACAAATTTGTTGGGTTCAGCCATAAATTGACTCTTACCCAAGATACAACATTTTTTAACATTTTTTCCATCGTTAAAATTCATATTTTTTATAGGGTATAAGAACAACGGACAGACAGACTGTTAAGAATCTTTGCGGAGAGTGCATTAAGTTTCATTATTAAGCACACACACACACGCACACACAAAAAGAGACAACGCACAGCTTGAGAAATTAAAAGGCAATTAACATGCAACAGGCAGCTGCAACTTTGAAAGGCGTGGGGGGGTCAAGAAGGGGCGCCCTCTGCTGCTGCTGCTGCTGCTGCTGCTGCTGTGGCTGTGGCTGTGGGTTCAGCATATGCAGCAACTTTGTACGGCTTCTCGAAAATCAGCTGCAAATGTGCGTAGTAATTTTTGCTGATTGATTCAAATAAAAAAGAACGTTTGTTCCACACACTGCCCGAGTCAAAGTTGCCATAGTTGTTGTTCTTGTTGCTGCCGCTTGTTGTATGTAGGTCATGTGGAGCACTTTAGAGACTCCCACAGACGAATGTGCAACATGTGTTGAGCCAATCACTGTGGCTGTTGCCTGTGGCCAAACCGAGTGCCACACTGCGTATGCGTAACGCAAATTACCATAAATTACGGTTGAGGCACTGGCAACAGCTCGTTGTCTGCCGCTGATAAGCGGCATTTAACACAAATTCGTCAAGAACATATTTTGTAATGGACAAGATTTCGATTCAGATTTAACAAAATTGATTTTTTCTTTCCAAAGTCTGTTTTGAAAGGCAGCCCACACATTGTCTTTGGCTTTGTCATTGAAATCAAGTCAAATCCAAAGCCTATTTACGAGTGCTTCGCCTCGCACTTTGCGCTCTCGTCGAGACTTTTAAGTGAAGGTTCTACAAGAAAAAAAAAAATTAGAATACCTGAGCGTAGGTCGAAGGACGCAACTTGGGCTTTCATTTGGCTTCCGGCCTTTGTAATTGTCATACAAATATGGCAAACACACATTCCCAAATACATTGCTAATTGCCTGAGAGTTCAGGGGCGCTCGCCAACAACAGTTATGACAGCTGTTATTTATTATAATTCCCAACTATTGAGTCTGTTAATAATAAACTTGCTTTGCAATTGAGCTTTGACTTCTTGTAAATGATGTTTAAGTTATAAAAGCCAGAAATTACCTCAGACTATAAAAACAAATAAATCGCTTGATTTATGCGCATATAAAGCGTTAAGTAAGTATTATATAGGCACTTTTATAGGTATTTTGCTTGTGCTTTTTCTCTTTTTTTATAGTAACAAAAAGACGATTATTCTTTCTTTTTTATGCAATTCGCAACACACTGTTAAGGCACACTTTTAGCTGAAACGTTGGTGTTTTTCTTTTATTTTTAATTATTATTTTTTTTTTATTATTTTTATCGGACACTTCACTGGGACATTTGATTTGTTTGCCAACTGTTGTTATTCCTTGTAAAAAGTGTTGCACATTTCGTTGTCGAGTCGCCGTTGAAAAAACATACGAAATACGAATGCGTTGCACGTTCCGCGCTGCACGTTCGTCTTCGTTTGGTTTCTGCCGCTCACAAGACTGCGCGCCGCGAATTCAAATCTCAAACTGACAACACGAATCCGAACGAAAACCAATTCGACCTATTCGAAAAATCGAAATTTGTTCACATCGTGCCGCCTGCACGACGCGCAGCTGTCCAATTGGCAAAGCACATGCTGTTGTACTCAATTTGGCACTGTTATGCTCAGCATGGCACTGCTAAGCAGCTGTAACATGCGGCTGCACGCTGTTAGCGTTAGACCTAAATTAACAGCTGCCAGGGCTGCGCTAACAGACTTTGCGTGAAGATAGGCAGAAAATGTAAAGCTTGTTTGGGATTTACCAACTAATTAGCTAGTTAATTAAATGGAAAAACTATGCAGATAATAGAGCAATTATGTGAATTGAAATAAAATATAAATATTTAAGAGCTAACTGCAAAGATATGCATGTATTTGCAGTCACATTTAATTAACCTCCCGACACAAGCTTCAATTTATATGAACTTTAACTAATTACTAGCTCAACTTACTAAAATAGTGCAAAATTGTTTATAATTTTGTAGAATTACTAAATTTTGTATTTCCCGCCTCATTAATTCTTAGTTTTTTATAAGGCTCTTTGGCTTGCGATATGCTGCATTCTGTTCCTGCTGTTCATAAATTATTTATCTTTTTTACAGGCGATTTTTTGGGTCATCTGACTGCTTTGTTGGCTTTGCAGAAAATAGATCTGCTGAAAGTAGCCATAAAAACTTTGGCTATTGTTCGATTAAATATGCATATGCATAAACCATCCCCAATCTCATACCCATTCCCATTCCCATTCCCGTGCCCATTCCCATTCCCGGTCCCGTTCCTATTCCCATTCCCATTCCCGTTCGCAAACCCCATGCAATTCACATTTGTTATTTTCATTTCCATAGCTGGGGATCGTTAAATTGCTCATGCGCTAATTTGCGAGCCTGGAGAAACGCACACACTAAATGATAGATCTCTGGCATTCTATCTGGCAATCTGTTGCGATCTGCGAGGTGGGGTTCTCAGCTGGGGGGGGAGTTTGGCGAAGGAGGAGGCCTGTTGGGTCTGTGGGGCACTTACCTCGCCAATTTGATGAGTGGCGCGCAGCTTGGCGGCAATTTGCGCAAATTTGCATAGGTATCGCTGCTCGAAACTGGGCAGGCAGCCCTCGAAATGGCCTAGGAGGAGCTCACGTGCCTGGCGCATTAAAATCGCACGCGTGCGTGCCCAGTAGATGGGATAAATGTGCGACAGATGCCTGTCAATCAGTTCAGCCAGCATGACATCCACATCCACAGTCAGCTCCGTCGCACTCCTAGCTCCAGCTTCAGCTCCAGTTCCAGTTACAATTGCCTGCTGTGGGCACATTAAGTACGCCCCAAAAAGAGAAAAAGGGCCCATGTTAGTGGGCTAACAATTGTTGTTGTTGTTGTTGTTGTTGTTGCTGTTGCAGGTTACCTGGCCAGCCTGCTGCTCCTCTTGCACCTCGTGCACCTCTTGCTGCTCCTGTGGCACCCTCAGCTCCTTTTCTGTTTCGCAGTCGCTGCTGTTGGCATCGCTGCTGGACTCCTGCGGCGCGGCAGGCGCTCGACGCAGACTCAAGTCGAGCGGCATGCAGTCGATATATGCGCTGGCTGAATCTCTGCTGCCACAGCTGGAGTCCTCCTCCTCCTCATCCTGCTCCTCCTGCTCCTCCTCTTTCTCCTCTTTAGTCTCGGCAGTCTCCTCTTCGCACTCTATCTGCACTATTGTGGGTGCTGTTCCTTCGTTCTTGATCATTGTAATTGTTGTTGTTGTCGTTGTTGTTGCTGCTGTTGCTGCTGTTGTTGCATTTGTTGCTGCTGCTGTTGTTGCTGTTGTCGCTGGTCTGCTCTGCTGACCCGTTAGGCGTTGCTTGCATTTCTTTAGATAGCTGCGTACCCGCGACTTGCTGCGGTTCACAGTTGTTGCTGTTGCTGGGCATTGACAGCACACATAATTAGCATTTGGTTTGGCCAGCGCCGACAGCTGCTCCGCCTGCTCTGGCTGCTGCTGCATCGTCTCCAGTTGCGCCTCATCCTCTTCCAGCTCCTCTACAAACTCGTCGCGCGCTATTGGCGCTGTGTGGCCAGCTCTGGCCTCGTTCATGTCGTTGTTGTTGCTGTTGTTGTTGGCCGTGTCCGTGTCCGTGTCCGTGTCCATGTCCGTGTTCATGTTGTCCATGTCGATGGCCACTGCTAGCGGCGCCGCCGTCGCGGCCTGGCCATCGATTTGAGTGTCACTCAGCACCAAGATCTCGCTTAAATGGCCCTGATCCACTAATTCGGCTCCTGGGTCGCCGTTTGTTGCAGTTGTTGTTGTTGCTGCTGTTGCCTTGTTTGTGTCAGTCTGCATTGGGCGAAAAGACAGCAACAGAAAGCGAATATATATAAATAAAATACACACAAGCAAGGGTAAAGAGTTAATGCATTTTGTTCATAGCACTGTTGTACTTTACGGAACCCTTTAAATAGTATTTAAATTAGATCGGGATTTTAAATATCCTTTGTGAATTACAAAAATCAACAAGCAACAAAAAGAAACAGAGAGCGTTAAAGCAGGGGTACATGATAATGAAAATAACCGAACAGAGTTCAAAGAACTGTTTAAATAAAAGTTGCATAATGAAAATCGCATAGAACGGCGATGTAAAGAAGCGAAGGAGTGAGAAGGTAAGAGAAAGAAAGTAGGAGACTGAATGAATTCATAGAATGTTTAAAGATTTTAATGAGTTTTTTGAGATAAGTTAGAAAATTTTCGAAGTAAGTTAGAAGTGAGAGTGAGGGGAAGGCTAGAGAGAAAAGAATGAATTACAGAGAGATTAAGGAACAGAGAGAGTTAGAGAGAGAGAGATAGAGAGAGAGAGAGAGAGAGAGAGAGAGAGAGACAAACGCTATGAATAATTGTCATAATATTATCCCGAGTTAAGATTATAAGTTGAAGGAACACTACAAATGTTTGAGAAATAATTTTTTTTGGTTTTAAACTTATTTTTCTGAGCTTTCCCAGTAACATAAATTGCTGCACTTGGCTGTTAAACATGTGTGTTTACCTAAAATAGGGTGTGCTTCCAATTGGGGGCACAAAAACAAAATAAAAAGGTTCTTCGAGCACACACAAACACACACAGGGTTGGGTTGCCTGGGGCTACCCGGGTGACCGGGTGCATGTTAAAAGTTAAACAAAAAATCAATTGGGGACAACATTGATCCGATTTCACACAGAGCCACAGACAACAGAATGGGCGTGGCATGGCATGGAGGGGGCGTTTGCGCTTAAGTAAAATACAAGTAAAAACAAATGCAATCGCAGCAGTTGGCAATTGCAGTTGGCAGTTGCAGTCGCATTTGCATTGCATGACAATCAAATGACTTTGGCAAAGCTCAAAACGTCAAATGTTTCGCATGTTGTTGTTGTTGGTCTCTTGGTTGTTATTGTTGTTGTTACTGTCATAGGTCAAGTGTAGCACAGTAGAATTCACTTTCTTTTGCACACACTGCGCAAATTTGCGCAGTGAAAGTGGCCAAAAAGTGGACAACGCCATCGCCGCCGCCTCCTTTTTGACCATAACACATAACAATGCGATTGGATTTGGTTTTGGGATTTTGAATTTGAATTTAGCTTTTGGCTAGCCGACCCACAACAAGAAAAAAATGCTTAAAATTTCGGCTGACAATGTGACACTTTGTGGCTAAGCGACCGCTTGCCATATAAGCCGCACAGGCACGCACATGCAACACTTTTTTTACTGCTGCCCACACACAACACACACACACCTAGAGAATTGGCAAACGCGTTGTCCGCACCGCTTTGTGTTGGCCACTAACTGTTTTGCATTTGTTGTCCTGTGCTTAGTCCTAGCCGGAGCTCTAGACTGGCCGCCAGATGTCGCCAGTGGCATGCGCATGCGCCACAATAAATTGCCAACAGCAGGCGGCTACTTTTGAAGTGCGCCCCAAAAATAAATACCAATAAATATATCAGCTAAAATATTGTACATTTGTGCCAGTTTCTGGCGAGCCACCATTGCCATGGCCACAACAGCAGCAAAAGCAGCAGCATCCAATTTGCAGCCGGACGCAGCTCATCAATTAATTAGCCTGGCCCGGGCTGAGACTGGGGCCGCCCGGAGGCGTCTTTATGCGTGCGTGCGTGTCTGGTGCGGCAGACTGGGTCTTGGTCTTGGGCAGTGGGTCGCGGCGAGTTGGCCAGGTTTTATTGGTCAGTGGCAGGCAAATCAAAGAAATGTGTTGCGCCCAGCTCAGCAGCCAGCATGGCCATTAAAGGAAGGTCGCTTCAGTGCATCGCGGACCAGTTACTAACCTTGCGGCGCGCTTGGAATTGCTTTTCATTTGATGCAAACACACAAAAACACACACACATATATATATATATATAGCTATATATATTAAATAGCTGCCAGACATTGACTTCTCACGCGTATCCAGTTACTTGGCTGACCCACATCGGAAATCAAAAGCCCAAATCTAAGCTGGAAAATTAATTTCGTATGCGAGCTGCTTGTCACATTTGTGCTAATCAAAACATTATGACTGCGTTTTCTTTTATTAATTGGACAAGCCGATTGCCGCTGCTGCCGCCGCCAGCATCCAGGTCTTCCACTTGGCAACCTAGACACCTGCCCACTAAAAACAAATTAAATTTATTGCGTGTGATTTTGATAGTGGCAAAAGACAAGCGGAATACACGAAAATATTGCGTCAGTAACTAATTTGTTAGCAACTGGCTAACGGGGCGCCACATTTGTGTGTACGAGTGTGCGAGTGTGTGTGCGTGTGTGTGTGGACATTGAATGTGGCCAAGTGGTTGCGTTGGCGGTGCAAATTGCAATTGCGCCCTCACCACAAATGGACTCGCATTGGAGACACATTTGAGTGCCTCTATGTGTGCGTGTGTGCAAGTGTGCATGTGTGTGTGTGTGTGTGTGCGTGTGTGTGTGCGTGTGTGTGTGCGTGGGTGGCCACTGCAACTGCTCCCGCTCCCCAAATTAAGCGACAGCCGCAGCCAAAAAAGAAATTGAAAATTACTAGAGTCTACAACTCGCAACTCTTGGACTCCAACTCCATCTCCAACTCCGACGCGTTAATGGCTTGGCCTAACCTCTGACTGCCCACTCCCCTCCCCTCCCACCCTCCTTCTTCCCACCTTCCCAAACGAGAGAGAAATGAATTGGTCGAGTCTCTGGCTATGGCTGTAAATGGACTTGTTGTGAGAAAACCCATTTGCATGCTAAGCAGTTACACAAAAAATCAAAAAATTGTAAAATCAAAACAATCAAGAAATAAAATAAAAATGCTCGTAATATCGTGTGACATGTGACAAGGTGTAAACGAATGCCGTATACCCTGCAAAGTGCGAGCTAACGATTGCATGACGCGCATTTTAAGTGGCCCAAAGCAGACGGGAATTTAATTTAAATCAATTCAACTTAAATCGATTGACAAAGAGTGCAGCCAAAATGACTTAAAATAAATAAAACCAGAATAATAAAGATAAGTTGAAGTTGGCAAGGGCAAACATTTAAGGCAACTGCTCCTTAATTGGTTAACACAATAAAATAAATAAAAAAATAAATAATAATAAAGATAATTAATCGAGAAAGTAGCTTTATGTTCGACACGCCAAAGATAGCTTTTGCAGGGGAGAAGAAAAGATTCAGCTTTTCGAGCGATTGTTCCTATGACAGCTACATGATATAGTGGTCCGATCCGGCAGCAGCAAAAATATTAAAGACAACTTTTAAGGCAGTTACAGGCTCATAGTATGTGTATAACTTTAAGCTCAAACATTGCATTTATTTGACAGTTGCCAATTTTGAATAGAGTACTAATTTAGCCCACATTTTGATTGTGAAAACATTTACAGGCTGACAATGTTTTCAGTACAAGGGGCAGTTGTAAATTGAAAATTGAATTGTCTAAAAAGAATTCAAAGATATGGCAATGATTTTAAATAAAATGAGCTGAAATTAAAGGCGAATCGCTGGCTCAAACCACGAACTTTAACAGAGCAGTTTCTTGTTATAATCATAAGCAATATATAGAGCTAGAAGTAGACGAGATGAGATGACGACAGACAGCTGGAAGAGCATAAGAGTATATCGACTTCGCTGTGAATGCTGCTCGGCAATTTATGCCCTACTGGGTGGTCTACTTTATGAAGGTATCTAATAATATTTGTAGCTAGCACTTCAATTAAAAGCTGATTACCAATCGCAGATCGGGTTACATTTTAATATAGATATGTCTGCATATACGATATGATATGATATAATGCGCTTATGATTTTTTTGAGTGAGCAGTTCTTCATGCATTTCCTTGTGCCGTGCAGCTTATCAGTGGCGCCTTTTCCGGCTTTTGCCCTATCGTAACTCCGGCCAAAGTCCGAGTTTGTATTAAAAGAGATGCCGTTTTTATTTATTTACTTTTTTTTTGTATGCCTTTTGCCGTATTGCAATTGGGCATGCAAAATGTTTGTATTCAAACCGAATGCGTTGTTGAATTTTTCATGAGTTTTTCCCACGTTGTGCGTGCGCGCGCGGGAAAATATTAAACTTAAACAGTTTTCATGTCTCGCTGTCGCTCTCCGTGGCTCTTTCCTCAGTTAACAGCTTCGAAGGCGATTTGAAAGCCGTTCAGCGGCAGACTTGTGGCAGTTGCTGCTGCTGTTGCTGTTGCTGTTGCATGTCTCAGTTTTTTGCATGATTTCTGGTTAAAATGCAAAACTTACTTAGTTGCAATAAATAAATATGCATGGGATGGCTGGCAAACAATGTGGAAAACGGCAACCGAAAACTGACGAGCGGATGCACAAAGCAGCGTCCCCCACCTAACAGGCAACAACGTGGCAACAACAACTAAAGCGAGGCAACAACCAACAACAACAACAACAACAACAACATTCATTGCAATTAGCCGCAACTGTAGGCAGCCAACAATTTTTATTTGCTTCTCCTCTTTTTTTTTTTGGGTTTATTGGCCATCGAGTGCCACTGCGCCTGCCCCCACCCCTACTCCATGTCCGTGCAACAAATGAGGCACTGATAAATATTATTAGCGCATTGGCGGCCGTTGCGCGGTTCACTGGCTCTGCTGCCTGCCACATTTGCGGCCATAATCGCAATTTATTTAAATGCGAGCGTGTGTCTAGCTTCAGCGGGGGGAGGGTTGGTTGGTGTGGGACTGTGGCAGGAGCCGCTGCTGCTGCTGCTGCTGCTGCTACTGCTGCTGCAACCGGTGGCAGCCAGTCCACAATTAATATCGACATTTTAACACTTAGCGCTGACTTATTGCATCTCTTAACTGTGTTTTTTTTTGTTTTTCGTCTCT